GTGTGTGTGTATGCGTATATTAGGGACAAAGATTTATAACTTTAGTTTTACTTATTATTTTGTTTATAGTTTTAAAAGTTTTGTAAAAATACATTGTTTAGTATATATTTAGTACATAAGAGGTTAACTGTAAGAAAGGACCATGTGGTCCTAATGTTCGCCTCAATAAAAAAAGTATTTTCATTTCATTTTCATTTTCATTTCATTTCCTGCCAAACATTAATTGTGCTCGGGGTACTTAGTGGTGTTGCTCGGTACCGAAAGTGCACATAGTTTTTCATGCAGAGTGCCCGGTTCAAACTGCATGCACCTGAACTATTTGAGTGACAGCCCCATAATTCCAAAACAAGAAAGCTCATCAAGAGTAACGTGTGATTCAAAGGGTTTGCTCAGATTGAAGAAAATGCCCATCTACCTGCATTTTAGTGAATTTGATACGATGTAGTTTCAGCGATAATAACTTAGTCGATGAATATGTGCCTAAACAACTACAAAAACATTACCTACCTTTCTTTTAAGCTTCTGGTATTTTGCCTGTAACATGAGTTCTTCTTCTGTTAAATTGGTCGGGAAGTGTAGGTACACCATTGTTCTGAATTTGAAGACAGGAAGTTATAACACTACTATTATTGAAAGTTTATTCTTCGAAAACTGTGCTAACTTTACTTGTTGGTACTGTACTCACATTAATTTACGTAAGTTGGTTAATAAGTAAATACTAAATATTAAACAAAACAAAACTGACAGCTGCTACAGCAAAACATTGAGGCTTCTTCTTCTTCTGCTTCTCATTCTTCTTTTCTAGCTTGCGTGTACAGCTAGCTTGGTTTACTAACCAATAACCATGTAGCAACAGATTAAGGTTTTTTAGTGGGTTTTTTATTCCTTCTGCTCCAAATATTTTCACTGATATCATAAGGCTATTTTGTTCCCATGTGTTTGTTAAGTACTATACCATAGATAAAACATACTCCCTTAGTAGATTTCCCATTTTTATAGAACAGCTGAAGCCAATTTTACTGTTAGTTCTGTCCGGTGTACTGTAGTTTTGGTAACAATTCGTTTCTTGCAATTTCAGTAATTTACATCCACGTTTAGCCAAATCAAGCTATCTAATCATAAACAATAACTTGTCCACTAGCTATATAACCAAACAGTGAGGCGCAAATCATGAGAAACCAACCCCAAAATAATATAAACAAAGTCTAAACAAAAACGACATCTACAGTACACCGGACAGAACTAACAATAAAATGCTTCAGCTGTTCCATGAATGGGGAATCTATTAAATTAATGAGTATGTTTTATCGTAGATTATTAAACATACCGAGTAAAAATAAGAACTGTTTATGTATTATATACTTTTGTTTTCTTATTTACATTGAATCAAGAATTTGTATTCGTAATGTGCTTTATTGTACCATGGTGGAAGGAAAATGCTTTGTACAGTACATGCATTGGATGAATGTCATTAAAATAAAAAATAATGGTACCCTAATAAGATTACGGGCAAGATAAAATAAGCAAACTTTACAACAAGTGCAGTGTAATACATGAAAAGTATTACAGTCATCTTAAAAATAAAGTACTGTAGGTTTTAAAACATGCAAAGACAAGAGCAATTATGAAAACAGGCACACTGTGTATACAATACATATGTAGTTTATAAATAGTTTTATAATAAACTAGCTGGCCCGAGAGACGTCGTCCTGTCCTAATGTGGTTTTATGTCAAATGCTCGTTCATTTTCAAGATGAGCTCGTTCACATGGCTCAATCACGTCCTGGTTGAAGTTCGTTCGATACGCTCATTCATCTTTAGGTTGAAGCTCGTTCGCTACGCTAACTTTCCTCCAGGTTGAAGTTCGTTCGCTACGCTCACTCACCTTTTGGTTGCAAATTAGCTGTTGTCATAAATTTAAAAAAATAATAGTGCTGCACCCTGTTGGTAAACATATTAACCTTTTAATGCTATTGAACATCACATAATCTAATTGTTTAGTTGAACCAGCTGTTAAGATTCATTAATTCCATTTAAATATGAGTACTCATAAGGTTAACATGGGAAACTCCAGAGCCACTGCTGGGGCGGAGCCCTTTTGACGGATCTGCACCGAACTTCACACAAACCATCCTTGAATAATGCTTAATAATGCCTGAAAGTTTCATTACAATCTGTTAAGTGGTTTCGGAGTCCATAAAGGACAAACAAACAAACAAACATACATTGGATTTTATATAGATTAGTAAAAAAAAGAACAGAGGGACAAGAAAATAATTTAAAATGTAAAAAACCATAACAACTAAGTCTTGGCTATATTACATATACATATTTTAAAATTGAACATTAACAGCAGGAAATTAAAAAATAAAATCATCCAATTTGCAGAAGGGCCTTGCATTGATGAAATTTGGCTTTATAACAAAAGGGAAAAGGTAATACAGTTTGAAGGTTTCCATTATTTTTTATTGCTTCTATGAAATTTACATGTTTGCTGCAGCTAAACCTTCTTGACAAAACTTCAATTAGGGTAAAACATAATATATCAATTTGATATGAGATCAATATATAAACTGATTTTTTTTTATTAACAGTAGCAGTATCCTATGTTGTGCGATTATTTTTTACCTATTGACTTCATATGTAAGGGTTTTCAACGGTATTTACTCAGGGGAGGTATAGAAGAGGCTACGATGACAGCTGAGGGCTTCTTATTAGCTGAGGGAACGCCATTACCGTAACAAAACTTTCGTTAGCCAACGGCCTCGACGGTGGTCTAACGGTTAGCGTGCAGGGCTGATATACTATATGTCCCGGGTTCGAATCCCGCTGGTAGCATTAACTTTTTGCCGAAGATTTTTTTATTATCAGCAAGTTTTGTTGGTTTGGTTTGGTTATTACAGTTTAATTTTATTATTAAGTCATTATACAATTTTAATTTGAGCAATTTCTAGTTTTATTTAATAAACAGAATTATTTTTCCGATTACTAAACTGTTGTTATATTATTTCTTTATCAGCAAGTTTGGTTAGTTCGGTTAGGTTATGATAGTTTAATTTTATAATTAAAAAATAGTAAAATTGAATTTGAGGCATATATAATTTTATTTTATGAACAGAACTATTTTTGAGATTAGTAAACCTTCATTGCCAAAGTGCTCTCTACTACAGCGCTGTTCACGGAGGAATTTTGAACTAAATGCCTCATTTGTACCTCCCCTAAGTCAGACCCGTTTTCAACTAAATGAACGTTTGTGTGTATCATTTAAAAATTAAATCGTCTTAGAGCAGTATAGTATTTCTATACATGCATCGGTGCCTCATATAATTCGCACTAGGGAGTCAATGAAACATGACCACCTTTTAGAAGAAATTAAAAATTGTCTTTCTTTAAAGCTCTGTTAAGGAAAGAAGCTTACGCGTATTCTGTGCCTAATAAAAGCACGCTGTTTTGTGTTGTTTGGTTGGAATAATAGTGTGTGTCAGAAAAAGGAAAAAAACTGTGTGGCAAAAGTAAAAGGGTGGTCTGTGCTATAACCAGTACAAGGAAGGCCACTTTGTCAGGAAATAGTTATTTGTGTAACTAGTGGTGAAAGTGGCACTTTGCTGCACACGAGAGCAATGTTTACGCACGAGCCGCAGGCGAGTGTGGAATGATCTCGAGTGCAGCAAAGGCCTTTTTCACTCGTGTTACACATTATATTTTTCCTACAGTCACTATAAAGCATATAAATAATTAGTCTTTCAAACACTATACAATACGATTTAGGTTCAGCTGGCAACACAAATGGTGCCCTAGAGAAAGTAGTACCCGCGGTCCGTATCACTCCGCGATTTTTCCTCGGTAAGAAATGTGCTCCGCGTTTTGAGAATATAGTTTCGTATGTTTTTGTAATTCGAAGTGGTTTCCGCGCCTAAAAAAATGCTTTAAAGGTATTTTCTTGTTTATTAAGATCGTAGGAATGTTTTAAAAACGTTTAAAAGAAAAGTCCAGAAAGTTCAGAAATTATAAAATACTGAAACTATAAACACGAAATGACAGGTTAAATCCTAGTTATAATAGTGAATCAGCTGCTCATAGTATTATTATCTTTAAGTGTTGCCAACCTATTTCCAAGCGTATACGGATTACGTGCATAATAGAACCACGCTGTTTTGTGTTGTTTCGTTGGAATCCTGATGTGCGGCAAAGTATAAACCGTACGACAAAGCATAAACCGTACGGCAAAGTATAAATATGCAGTAATTAGCAGCTTTCTGTACTATAAACAGTACAAGGAAGCCAACTTTGTCGGGTGACTGTAGGAAAAAATATATTACTCTCATTGTTTTGGTTTTCTTTTCTGGAGGTATTGGGATATAAGAGATGTTATATCTTTCGTGTTTTCATTCGTATACTTATCATCACATAAAGTTTAACCGCCAGGCAGTTATTAGTAACCAAAATGGTATAAGCCGTAACTGTTTCAGTTGAATGTAATCACTAGCTGAAACTGTTCCGCCATTTTTGAGAAAAAAGTAAATACTGTACCACCGTCACCGTCCCAGAGGCTTAAAATGTAAATGCAGGTTTCCAAAAGCTATTTATAATCACATCTCTGTGTTAAAAAATTGCTTCTTTTCACTGAGATATAGTATGCAGCTCTTTTGATCGCCCTTAATTTGTATCCCTTCACAAATTGTTCTCTACAGTATTTGATACTGTAGATAAAAATAATTATGAATCTTGATGGTGAGGGTCATTGTCAATATTATGTAATGACTCCGCTCAATTTTGTGGACGCGTCTTCAAACGCCACTTAGTTTATGTTAAGTGAGCTACATATACTGTCTATTGTATGTAGCTTAAAGGATTTTACAGGTTTATGAAATAAAATTCTACAGGCTTTGACTTATCCAATCGATTGTTATTTTTTTCATTCTCTATTGTCACCTGTATCGCCGTCTTCTGTCTGAATCTGACTGAATGTAAAAAGCGTCTATGTATGTCTGCTACTTGCCTACGAAGTGGTGTAAAATGCTAATGCGATTGAAAATTCTTAAACTATGGGATATTATTTTATTTTTTATTGTATACTGACATTGAGCTGTTAAGTCAATTAAATATGCCTTCGAAGACACCTAAGAAGGTCGTCGGGATGATCATAAGAAGCAGGAAACCAATTTTAAAAGACAGTGTTATGACGGTATGTTCCTGATTCATTTACTATTTCACCGTAGCAGGCCTAATCTGCTAATCTGTCAACCTTGAAATAAGCATGCCGAAATATATGCATAAAAAGAATTGTAACCTCTTTTATGATCAATCTTTTATCAATTTAAAGTAATAGCTTAGACCTAACAGTTTCACAACATTCCAAATGTTTTAATTGCGAGCAGAAGCTTAAGTTAGTTACTAGAAAACAAATTTCAGTATTATCATCCTTTTATTCCATACATTTCAGATTAAGTTACCTTGAAATTCGTTATCCATGGTTTTTAGGTAGGCCTAAGCCTACCTGTTAGGCTAGTTTTACAATGCTTTGTTCTATAAAGACTTTTTAGGCTGCACTTTACTTTAGGTCCTACACAAACAACCGAATGAAAATATCTACTATTCGATTGTTTCATTCGAATGAGTGTAGGACCTAAAGTAAAGTGCAGCCAATTTTTATTGTGTTTCTACTTAACTTAGCCTACTTAGGCTAATTAATTGTTTCCTGAGTCGGCCTAGACTAAGCTAGCATACTGTATTTCTTTCATACAGTTTTAAGTTAAATCGGGCAGCCAACCTCATAGATTTTTTATAAATTGGGTAGCTTACAGGCCTATGTAGGTTAAAATAATTCACAGAGGATACACGTCCGGTAACTGGACATAGAATAGGCGTCCGGCAGTGACGTCACTTGGTTGTGGGGGCCCGGAACGCCATTACCACAATCATATGAATTACAGCCATCGGTGTTTGTGGTGTAGTGGATAGAGTGTTCGGCTGATATGCAACAAGTTCCTGGTTCGAATCCCACCTACTTAAACTTTTTCTAAAATATTTTGCTTTGAATGCCATGTCTTCTTAACTGTCCATCTTTTGTTAGAATTTTTGGCATTTATAATTTTATTCTATGAACAGAATTAATTTAGGCTACCTTCATTAGAAAATTTTCAAACCTTTAAAATCATTGATTTCAATTGTTTTTGGCGATGTTCAAACGCGATTTTCAGGGTAAAATCGTCGTTTCCCCCAAAAGTGCCTAAGGTAAAAAGTGCTTAAAAAAGCCTGATTTTACTTAACTTAGGTACTTACTTGCATACTTGAATACTGCATCTTTGACAGATCTAGTCTGATGGATTACGTCATAATTTATAATAAGTTATAATAAAACTATATTGTACAATATTTACAAAACCATAAATTAGGCTGCTATAAAAAAAGAACTTGGCCGTCAATTGGATGGCATGGCGAACATACACTATCTTGCGAGGGGCTCATCCTCAAGTTCTTTAAGGGAGTAGAGCGGTCTATTTACAAGTATCCCTTTTTTAAGTTTAGATTTTAATCGCTGAACAAGGATAGCAACTCGAGGTGCGACTGAGACGGCAGCGGGGGAAGTCGATATTTTGGGCCTTCCTAGTACAAAGTACCCTACTCGTGCACCTCCTCTCTCTTACTGTAAACCCTTAAGTTATTCTTCTATAGTAGGATCAGGATATCAAGAACATAGGCCTACTTACTATAGGCCTACTGTGAGCACCCCTAGTTCCTTGAAGATTGGCCGGCAATGGTCCAAATACCCAGCAGATGTGATAATCCTCAAGGCCATTTTTTGTAAAAGCAGTACATCCTCAGCTGCAGAGGAGTGCCCCCACAGTACCAGCCCATAAGTCACATGACTGTGAAATAAGGCGTAGTACACAGATAGAAGAGATGATTAAGGAATTTCGGGCGTAAGTTTTCTTAGAAGATGGAGTAAACAAGATAACTTGACACATATCCACGCGATGTGTTCGCTCCAACTTAACCTGGTATCTAATGTGAATCCCAGAAGCTTTACAGTGCCATCTTCCTCTACTCTCCGCTTCAGCGTACAGACCAGGGTCAAAGTCAAAGTCAAATCGTTTATTTCCAGAATTAGACAATACAATACACAGATATAAATTATAAAGAAATATATTTTTCTGCATATGCATAAGAATAAGAAGAATAAGAATAAGAAATTTATTGACCATTAAGTGAATACATTGTTTGCAATAGATCTCTTCAAATTAGTCTAAACAAGTGTCAGGCTTTAAAGCTAATACTATTTTCTATTTAAAGCTATGTAGGATGACAGCATATTCAAATAACTATTTCAGAATTTAAAAGACCGTGTGCGGAAAAAGAGTTCTAAATCTGCTATAAACAATACCTATCTGTTACATTGTGGATCTATACAATAATTATTACTTGTCTAATTAAAACATGTATTACAATATACTGGGTGACTATTTCTTAAAAATTATTATATATTAAATAAAAACATAATTTAAAAGTTAATATGTACAAACTTAAGACACAGTAACACAAAATTAATTTAGAGTAGAATTTCCTAATGTAACCTAATGTAACACTGACGGGGTTTTGTCATAATTAATTTTCAAGCGGTTTACAACAAACCAATCCTTGGCTCTCTCGAGTAGGTCTTCAGCCTCTGTTGGCAGTTGGTGAATATTGACACCTCTGGTCAGCAGCCTTGTATCGTCTGCAAATAATAATGTTCTCCCATTCAGATGAAGGTTGTTAATCATTATAGTAAAGAGGAGAGGGCCTAGGACAGATCCTTGTGGCACACCGTGTGAGAGATGGCCTATGCTGGAAAGGGCTCCTCGCAGAGTCACAACTTGCTTACGGTCCCTCAGACAGTTTGAGAGGCTCTTGAGAACAACACCGCCAACGCCATACTTGCCTAGTTTTAGCAGGAGGATATCGTTAGGTACTACATCAAAAGCCTTGCTTAAGTTGCAGAGGCTGAGCTGCACAGACTCATTTTGCTCTTAAATGCTTCAGAGATGGTGTTGACTAGGCTCAGCAGGGCGGTGGTGGTAGAGCGGCCTTTTCTGAATCCATGTTGAGCATCTATAAACAGGCTATTGTCCTCAAAAATCGACATGAGTTGGTTCTTCATTATGGTTTCGAGTACAGTAGAACTCCAATTATCCGAACTCCAATTAACCGAATCGCCGATTATCCGAATCGCTTATTTCAACAATTTTAATAATGTAAAGCTACAGTAATAATAAGGTTTGGAAAATATCAAAGAATTTTTATTAAGAAAAAGTTTAGAACACTTGTGTACTGTAAAAATGTTCTGATTTCATTTATTATTAATTAAAAATTCATTTAGTACAGGAAATGAGGATTTTTCTTGGGAATTCCCGGAATTCCTGTAAAACTCCGATTATCCGAATTTTTGATTATCCGAATGGGGTCTGGTCCCAATTGATTCGGATAATCGGAGTTCTACTGTATCTTTGAAAACACAGGTAGAATGGAAAGGCCTAAAATTAGACAAAGTGGAAACATCTCCCTTCTTATGGACGGGTACGGTTCTAGCCGTTTTCAAAAAATGTGGAATGAACCTTATGAGACAGATTCACTAACCTAGTGAGGGGTACAACTAAAGAATCAATAAGAGCCTTTAGGGCCATGAAGGACACTCCGTAAATATCTTGGCTTCTAGAATTGTTGTATTGATATGATATCATGAGTACTCACCTGTTTCCAAGTTGTTAGTGTGAGTGCTGGTTGTATGTCTTTAATCGAGGCCAGAGGGTCCGTCTGCAAAACAGGCAGGTTAGAGACAATGACCTGAACATTGTACCTTTTGGGAGATAAGGTAGAAAAAATTCAATATACTATAAGTAGGTTACAGTAGTATAAGTTGCCAAAAATTCTGTTTAATAACAGAAAAGGCATATGGGGAATATAAAACGGAATTTTGAAATGTTACAGCAAGTTTAGTTAGGCCTAGTTAAGTTAGATTAAGTTAGGTTACGGTACCGGTACTTTAGAATTTCATTTCAATATATATATTTTGTAATCGTTTGATATTGAACAAGCCTAATTTTGGTGGAAAAGATAAAAAAATTCAGTATAACATAGGTAAGTAGGCCTAGTATAAGTTCAGTTACCCTAAAGTCTGTTCAATAACAGAAAAGGCATAAGGGGAATATCAAACGGAATTTTGAAATGTTATACAGTAAGTTTAGTTAGATAAGGTTACTTTAGAACAATTTCATTTCAATATTATATATATTTTGTTAATTATGTTTGTTGATATTAAACAATATTTATTTATCGTAGTTTTCAGCTGATGTTTCAATTCGTTAATATCGGTATATGGGCTTGAAAAATTCAATATCATTATATCAAATACCCCCGCCACAGCAATCCTGCTGTCTAAGCGAATTTCCATTTGCCTGAAATTTCTTTCAATAAAGTGTGTTTTTAGTAAAATAATTATAGCTTAGTATAAAATCAATAAATTTGCCAAGTTTGATCAAAATATATCCATAAACAAGCAAACTACAATATTTTATAATAGGCCTATTCTCCATAAGAATAACATGGGAATTTTAAATTTACAATTTTTTGAGTTTTCTCCGTAACCAATAACCGTATAAAAACACTTTGATATACTGAATTATTAGTTTTTTTTAAGCTCTTTAAGAAAGTCTAGAGAGAAATTGGGAAATTTTATGTTTTGAGGGTCAAAAATTAGAAAAACCTATTTTGAGCTGGTCAAAAATTAGAAAAACCGTTCCCATAGTCCGATCATGATGGTTCGCAAACTCATTCAAGTTTATCCTGCCTTATACCTTCAAACCAAATATCATCAAAATCGGATAAAAATTACTTAAGTTATCGTGTTCACGGACACGTATATATAAAGCTTTTACAAATCTGTGCATTTTTATAACTGTGCTAATAAAACTTCTTGTTTGAAGTTAATTTTTTATCATAGGCCTATTTAAATGTCCTCATTTGTCTGTCATAAGTAGTACAGAATTATGTTTCATAAGATTATTTATTGCTATTTGCTAATGATAAAAACAAGGGGAAGAGCTGAAAAGGGGAAGAGCTGACACTACAATCAGTGTCACAAACATGAACTAGATACGAAAAACCAACTTCAAATTTTACAATGGGATGAGAAGTCTGTTGTGTTGGTTAGTCTAAGGTTAAGTAACCCTGTATATTTGTTGATGACATGATAAAATTAAAGGTAAACAAATTACTCAAAACTTTTCAGATTTGGACTAGCTTGCTTAGCTGCATCTCGAGCTTGTTGGAGATATTAATTCAGAAGCTATGATTGTATTTTCTCTGTGATCGTTTACGGCTACTTCTATGATACTGAATGCTGCATGGTGGTGGGGATCAGTTAGTAGTAGCCAAGGAAGTAAAGTGATAGGGTTAAGTTAGAGAATCAGCTTAGATTTGTGTCGCAATGGGAGTTTTCTAAACTTAACCCTCATAAAACCAAAACTTTCAACGGTTGAAATAAGTAAATTTCTTCCGATGATGAATAGGTTTGTCCTTAGATTGTATATCCTGTATCGTCAATAAATAATGATTTTACATTCCTTTAATTCTAGAGCTCTGGGATTGGAGAACCAAGTGTGTATCATGCTTTGGTGGTTATTTTCCTGGAGTTCTTCGCCTGGGGCCTCTTGACAATGCCCATTATTTCCGTAAGTCACATCTACAGAGTACCACATAAACATTTTTATTATTATTACAACATGGGAATGGGACTACTGTCTAGATGTTATTTGCCACAACACAGTTTTGTTGCTTTTATTGCAAGGGATAGAAATTGATGGTTTTAATAGTGATGAGTTGAATTTTGGCCTGAAGTATGTATAGTTACTTACAGGGGGTTTTATATTATTTTTAGTTATCTTTCAGTTGAAATACTATTTTAATTGCTGAAAATCTGTATAGGGTAACTGTAATGAACAAACCTTATATGTTAATATAATTTTCAAAGGAAAGTTGTAATACACACGTTCAATAAACATTTTCATCAAACATTTTTGTCAAACACAATAAGGCCATCCCGTAATACTGATTTAAAAAGTAAATTTATAGCACCTAGAACCACCATCAAGTCAGGCAGACCTGAAGGCCTATATTTTTAATCTTTTCATTTGTCAAATTTGAACAGTTGATATGATCAGTGTAGAGTACCACCTGCACAAAGTCATTTTCAACAGACTTGACAAACATTCCTTTGTCTTCTCTATTCACTAAACACTTTAGTCATAGGCCTACTGTAGAAAATCCATTGGGTGCTTTATTTAGTTAATCTAGTGGTTCTTTTGAGCCCTTTTGTTGAAGTAGGCCTAACTAATATTTAAAAAGATTGTGTCCACCAGAGATATTATTTTTAAACAGTTTGTCAATAATTTACGTTAATTTCCTACATGAAATTATAAAATGAATGACCTGTGATCGCAAAGGTTACACAAATATGTTAGACTAAATTCAAATGTCGTAACTTTTTTGTCTGGTAAAATATAAATTTAATAATATGTGTATGTACTGACGTATGTTTTGAATGGTTGAAGGTTGTAAAGATTATTCATTAAAATGGATTTTAAAATTTGTTATTTGGGTTTTGCCGATTGATTACTAATAATAATAATGTTTTTTTTACATATCCACTCATAACCAAGCTAAACTGAAACTTATTGTAAAATTCAGCTTCTTTTATTTCACATCAACTGTCATAATGACAATAACCTAAGAGAGAAAATAGTTTTGATAGTAGCACACCGTAAGAAGCTTATTCAAACATGTTCTATTTGACTAAATTAATGGCTGCGGCTGCGTCTGGTCCATATAGATGGGATTTCAACTTCCCTTTCCAAAAGCCAGTGCACATGTAACAACCAAAATACAAGAGCAATACCATCTTGATTGTAAAACTGGAGGTGGTTTTAGTTAAGACTGTTCTTGAGCAAATCAGACGCTCGGTGACGCCAGTTGTCATTGTTTGTTTAGTTTGATGGTAATTACATGCGCCGATTGTCACTAGTACTACTACTGCATTAGAGCACCTGTTTCCTTTAAGTTTTAAAAACAAATTTAAAACAGCTTTTAGTGCATAAGGATGACTTCAAGTTCGGATGTCAAAGTTCCGCCACAGATTTTACCGTAAATTTAACCTAACAACTTTTCTTATCATAATCATGATACTTTTAACAAATATTCAAGTTGAAAGTTTTAAAGAGAGGCTATTACACAAATTCATTCTTGCATATGGCAGTGGCTTACCATGAATACTGAGTTGTCTTCCCTTTTAAACATTTACTCGGTAAATTATCTCAAGAGTTGTGATACACAACAGCCAATTTTATTTTGAGCCTTCAAACATATTAAGTTGTTAATTGACTTTTTTCAGACCCTCAATGACACATTTCCTGACCATACATTCCTGATGAACGGACTCATAATGGGAATCAAAGTAAGTAGCCTAATATTTAAGTCTGAGTTTAATATCTTAGACATTTATGGTATATAAACGTAGACACTGATTTAGATTAAGTGTCACTTTTAAGTATTTTTTTAGTCGGTGGTTTAATGAAAAGTAAGAGGTCTTCTGACATTTTGTAAGTCTCCGACATGGGTTTGTTCTGTCCAGCCTTTCAGCACTGATGGAAGAAAAACTTTGTGCCCTTGCCTTTGGACCAGGTTGTAGAGTTAAATTACATATATATATATTTTAGTTGATTCTGTGGCTCAGTTGGTACCATTACAGACTACGAATCCTTAGCAACAATGAATAAGTTGTGCAACCTCGTCTAACCATTAAAATTTATCATTACAACCATAGCCTCTTCTAATACAAGGCCATAGCGTTGGTGTGTGGCAACGTCACAGCGTCATACATATTGCCACATGGTAATAAGAAAAGTGCAAACATAAACATTGCCTATACTCTTCAAACATTGTGAGTGTTGTCATGGTTACCAACCATGAAATCCAATCAATTTTAAATTTGAAAATCCTCACCTCGGATCTTTGAAAGCCTGTGGGGCAGAGCCCAAGTTAATTATCAAAGTGGAAATCGTCTTACTTTGGAGTGCATCCCAGTGGCAGTTTACTACTACCATAGTTAAAACATATTCTCTTAGTAGGTTTCTCATCCTTATGGAACAACTGAAGCTAATTTTATCCTTAGTTCTGTCCAGTGCACTTTAGGTTTTGTGTTTTGTTAACAATTTGTTTCTTGTTATTTCACTCATTTTAAACCTCGTTTAACCAAATTATACAATCTAATCATAAACAATAACTCGTACTCTAGTTATATAACCAAACAGTAAAGCACAAATCATGAAATTAACTCTAAAATAATAGAAACCAAAATTTCGTCACCGGATATGAATTAGACACGAAAACGAGCTTCAATAGTCTATGCTACTACAACATGAGTGAGTGGTCATGGAGAAAACGCGGTACCTACCCACACACACTTCCTTTTATATATAGATTAGTATAACAGCTGTTTCGGTGTGTCGGGACATCGGTGTTACCACTTTTGTCTCGCCGCAGCCCTGTATTAGAAGATGCCATGGTACAGCTCATTCTTGAACTTTATCTGCTCACTCCTTGCTTTACTGAGTACTATCTACGCACAGGCCCAATGTGTGGATGCATGTGTGAATGGGCAACTGCAAGTTAAAGGAAGCTACTAACCTAAAAAAAAAAAAACAAAAAAGAAAAACACTGTATTTTGGCTACGCACAAAACCACTTCTGTGAACATAGATAGGCCTACAATTAATATCAAGTACTTGTGTGTTTGTATTAAAATCTGCAGAATATGTTTAGTATTTTTTTTTTTCACTGGCAATTTTTAAGCTGTCTGTCTCTTTGTTATTCTTATAAATGTCTTGTAGGGACTATTATCATTCCTGAGCGCTCCTCTGATTGGGGCCCTCTCAGATGTCTGGGGTCGCAAGTTTTTTCTACTCATCACCGTCTTCTTCACCTGTGCACCTATACCTCTTATGACTATTAACACTTGGTAAGCCATCTTTTGTGTACACAGCATAGGTTTCTTGTATCATCCTTAAAATAAGTTGCACATGTACATATTTCATACAGTAGAGAGTAAAAATAGTCTGAACGACTTAAATTTACTCCTTAACTGCCATTACTGTGATTTGTTTTGCCAAGCCTTTACTACATGTAGTGAATTTCAAATAGAGTATGATACCCAAGTTTTTCTTACTTAAAAAATATGTATTACTTTAGATAGGTTTGTGAGACTAAATCAAATTTATAAAGAATTTTATAGCAGAGTTGTATACTCATGGGTTGTCTGTAGTTTGTCTGTTTTGTAACAAAAACATCATCTCATCTTGATTTCAAATATTTTCCAGGTGGTTCTTTGCCATGATCAGCATCTCTGGTGTTTTTGCTGTCACATTTTCTGTTGTGTTTGCGTACGTTGCTGATGTTACGGAAGAACACGAACGAAGCTTAGCCTATGGACTGGTAAGTGTAATTGGTTTAAGTATGAAACTAGGCCTACATCATACTTCAGCCTCTATTGGACAGAATAAGAACTTAATCATAAAATATGTTTTGTTGAAACAAAATAATATATGATGTTCATTAAATAAAGGTATTGACTTGTAAACATACATACAATTTTTATGTTTGCTAGAAAAAGTTGTGAATGAATCAGTTTTATTTTGTCTTTTAATTTTGTGAACTTTTAAATACAGCTGAAGAAATAGCTTTGAAGGAAGTGATTTTGGTAGTATAATATATTTTTTGCATTTTTATCTGAACAAATAGATTTGGATAATTTGGAGTGAATTCTTCACAGTTACATGCATAGCCTTAAATATGTAGCCTACTGCGGAACAAAGTTTGGGACACTTTAAAAAAATAAACAAATTAGATAAAAATGCAGTCCGGTAATAATTGGTGCATCAGGGCCGGCCTGAGAACAAAATTGCAAGTGTGCAAGACTCACATATCATGCCCCCACCGGCAGATCAAAGGGGGGGACAGGGGGTAATTTTGAAAGTTTGGGGAAACATTTTTGAAATTTAAGGTATAAAAACACTTTTTTTGTTCTCTTTTGAGCCTCTTTTAGAACATTAAAAAAGTTTTTCTCTCAATTTGATTTAATATTGATTGACTTGATAGGTTTATACTTTTTTGTATCTTAAACCACTATTACGATGTTAAGCTTCGTAGTCACTTTTAAATTATTATTATACTTATATTGCAAGTACTCTCAGAATAAATAGCAAATGCTGGAGCTGGAATCACCGTAAGTCAGACCGATAAATTGCATATCTCATGGGTGAAATAAAAACATCAATGAAATAAAAATATCAGTGGCTACTGGCTAAAAATAGAAAACACCCGTGAAAGGGGAGGTAGAAATATGTCACAACCACAACCCTTCCCGCGTCCCGCCACACAGACGTAGACGGCCGCTCTACTGACCTTGGACGTTAGTCATGGGCATCAGGCTGCTGTATTTCAGAACTCACTAAGGTCGGGAAGGGGAGAGGTAGATCTTTGGTTTTAACTTTGAAATTGAACTGTAACAGTTTGTAGTCAATTCCTATTTTAAATATTGCTGTCCAACATTTAAATCGATTTCAATTAAATTTTTTTTTTTATCAAGAATGGTCAATTTTTTGCCCCTCCAAAAGGCTCGAGTGTGGGGCTGCATAAGTCGCACACCCCTCAGGCCGGCCCTGGGTGCATTCAATCTAATTGATTCCATGTTCAAAATGCAAAAGTCCATCAAAGCTGTTAAAATATGCAATAATTCAAATTAAAGCCTATGTAGGCCTAAGACTGCATTTTTTTACTTTTCTTCTTGTCATTTTGCAGGTATCTGCCACCTTTGCAGCCAGTATGGTAATCAGTCCTGCTCTAGGGGCCTATCTCATGGATGCCTATAGGTGAGTTTATACTTTTTAGTGTACTGAGTAAAGTGTACTATAAACTATTACAATTCTTAGCTTTCTGTTATTTTCTTTTTAAAGAAGATTTGTATGTTTGAGTCTGAACACATTTACAAGTGCACAATTGTAAGCCTGAGTACATTAGAGGTTGTAGCCAAAATACAAGGCATTCAATCTATAGTTTTCCGATTTTGTGTTATCCAACTCTCCATGGTAATGATCCAGTACTACACAACTGGGGCCTATTTATTTGCGGTATGATTGTACACTAGAAGCTTTGACTATTAATACAACAACAATAGTCAATGCTAGAAGTGTGTGAGAATTTCGGTCAAACCGAGCTCAAGTCAACAGGATAAACTATTCATTTAATGGGTTTTTAACATATACAATGGTTTTTTATTACATTCCGTGTTATGAAACTATGCCGCTAATCCGACCCTGCTGCAGACCTCAGATATTTGTACTTCTAATGTAGCCTATTCTATGATGCTTTTTATCTGTAGCTAGTTGATTTTTATTTTTCATATGTGGCATGAGTGTATATTTTCGATGAGAATGTAATAACCATTTCAATATCCATAGTCAGTTTCTCACCAAGTGACATGTTGCAGTGAGAACGTGGTGGTCGCACTGGCAACGGCCATTGCTCTTCTCGATGTTTTCTTCATTCTAGTCGCAGTACCGGAGAGTCTTCCGGAGAAAATCAGACCACACTCTTGGGGGGCCCCGATATCCTGGGAGCAGGCAGACCCGTTTGCCGTAAGTTATAATTATTAATTAAATCATGATTATTTATTTTTTGGTTTAAATACTATAGTAACAGCATAGAACAACCATGACTTTTAAAACAATACTTTATCATGTAACTTTATCCTGTTTAGCCTTGTTGTGCACCAGAGGGTTTTAGTGCTTAGATTTCCAACCTTTTTCACCTACCATCGGTTTAAATTAAATGTAGGCCTATAAATTAGGGGTCTGCAGTACAGAAAACATAAAAGGTCGGTACGGTACAATATTTTGTACTACTTCGGTTCTCGTTACAAAATCAGCTCGGTATGTGACTACCAGTATTTTTGACTTTGAGAAAAATTACATTTTGACTACAATAGCGAATTGAAAGTAATTAATTCATTATAGGCTGTACAAACTGAATTTGTACTTAGTAAAATGCTGTTCTGAACCGATGGCGGTAATTCGACCAATACCGTACCGTACCAACCTTTTCGGTGCACCGCAGACCCTTGGTATAAATATGAAAACCCTCATCGTCAAAAAGTTTATTTATCGTAAGCTGGGTTGGTTGTCTTGTAAAATTAAATTGTTAACTACAATAATCACCTTTGCCGACAACAGTGTAGACCGTAATGGTGTACAAAGAGGGTTTTTATATAATTATTTATCTACATTTTGAAGAGAAGGCCATGCAGTCTTACAAAGTAATTTTTCAATCAACTATTGCCTCTCTCCTCCCCTATTTTGTCACAATTATTCTTGCAAAATATATTTTTAAAACCTCTGTAAAACATTGACCCATGCCACATCAGGCGTAAACAAGCTTTATTTATCATGAATGAAGGGAATTTAATTTGATTTTGTTAGATTCCTTATTGATGAACTCGTGGTGTGTTACAGTCCCTCAGAAAGGTTGGCAAGGACCACACAATCCTCATGTTGTGTGTTACTGTGTTCCTGTCTTACTTACCTGAAGCTGGTCAGTATTCTTGCATCTTCGTATATCTCAAACTGGTAAGTCGGACTAATACTAAGGTAGTTTTTAGGTTAGCTTAACTAAGTATGACAGTAAAATTTACAATTTGAACTAAGTTCAATCTGGTCAATCACCTAATTCTCAGTGCTATAGAATATGTAGCAGGAATAAGCAAGTTAAACTAAAAATCATAGTTTAAATTCTCTTCCAAAAACTTTGTTCAGGAATCTCTCTATTCATTCTTCCAGTAAATCAGGATATGATCAACATTACAGTAGAACTCCAATTATCTAAATCCAACCATCCGATTATGAATCATGTGAAATACTCCTAAATTTGGGCATTTTATAGAAAATACTTCACGGGTACATGAAATACACTAAGAAAAGTCTGGTATAAGCTCGAGTGACTAAACACCAAGATAAAAATGGAGTTCAAGCAACGCTTTTACTATCCTAATACTTCTAGTTCGTAGAACGTGTCTGCTAATATTTCGCAGATCAAAAAGTATCTTGTTGCTGTACTTTTAGGTATTTAATATTCTTTTTGAAGTGATTTGGGTAAAAGGGGTTTCACATGGAGTTTGGACAGTTAGATACTGTACAGTTGGTTACTGTAGATAGTTTTCATAATTTTTCTACTATGATTATGGTACACATAATCTTTCAAAATACAGTAAACTCTCGCTCATCCGGACTAATGTGGCGGACGTCCAGTCTGGATTACGAAAAATCCGGACTATCGAGAGTCGAGCAAATACAGTACTGTATATAGCAGTTTTTTCTTCAATTTTGTTCCAGGTCCACAGTATTGATAGCCGGGCAAATGCAGTTCCACCGGTAATAATATTTACCGCCGTATTATCCGAGGTAGTCTCGGTCATGTTTAGCTCGGATAATCGGACTTCTACTGTACTGTGCCGCTAAAAAAATCAAGATTGCCGATCCGGACTAGCGGGAGTCCGGACAAGGCCGATCCGGATGAGCGAGAGTCTACTGTATCCCAATCCAGATTCAAATCATCCTTGTTGTGACAGGTGATGGGGTTCAGTGTTGTGATGGTGGCAGTGTTCATTGCCGTGGTAGGCATTCTCTCAGTGTGTGCCCAGATAGTGCTGGGTATATTGATGCGCTCACTGGGCAGCAAACACACCATCATGGTGGGACTACTGTTCGAAATGCTACAACTCATGTGGTACGGCTTTGGCTCACAAACATGGTAAGTCAGTTTATCATATGCATAATGTTATCATGTATGTCTATCATTTAGAGCATATAAGTATATAGGAGAGAGCTAAAATTTGTGTACCATGTGTGATATTTTTCTTAAAAATTAATTAATTTTCTCTGTATTGAGCAAACCACACATTTTTGTTGTGTGTTTTCTACGCCATTGTCATTTTTTACGACAATTGATCCTAACTCTGGCCCTGATTCTCTCTTAATGTTGACCTTTTAGTTAGTTTTTATTGTTAATCACAGTAGAATCTCGATTATCTGACCTCATTTGGCCGCGGCTAGGTCGGAGAACCGAAAAGATCAGATAAAATGGAAAATGATAAGTTTAATGTTCGGGCTGTGACCGTTGGATGAATTGATGACCGCGCTAGTGTTGCACTTGTTGGCAAATTTGTGGAGATCGCAGAAAATGTTCTTAAGACGGTGCCGTGACCACAAGGCATGTTGAAGATAGCGCTGTGACCATGGAATATGTTGACAATGGAGCTGTGATGGAAGGAGATCTTTGCGTGGTCCTCCGATCCCTGTTGAGTGTTGCACTGCGCAGGAAGGTTGGATAACCGAGACTCTACTTTAATAGACTAATTACGAATGGCTTCCAAGTCCAAAATCAATCCTGTACCAGTTTTTACTATTTAGTGTTTTATGACTCGTGAGGTAGTGGCCATTTACTCTCAAATTAATATGCGCAAAGTTGCAGAACGGTCTAGTGTACATTAGTGATGTTCAAAACAAAACCAGAAATTTCAAATCTCGAAAGAAACCGAAATCAAGACTAAAAAATTGAATCCGGAAACAACCAACATCAAATAAATTAAACTCCTGACACCAACATACACATGAATACTAGATTAATTAAGACATTTAGTGGTAATTTCTTTGTGTTTAGTCAATATTGTTATGAAACTGAATTTCTGAGTATTATACGCTACCCAGTACCCCTGTATGGCCAATCACCGGAGAGTAGGTAGGCAAGATTTAATTTAGAATTATTATTCTTCAACACCAAGCTAACAGCTAAGATGGTGTTTGCTGAGATAACCTATCATTTGGTGTTTCCCCTCAGATGGTAGGATGCTGCACAAATTACTCCAATGCATGGTTATAACAAATTATACTTTTATTCTTCAAAATAATGAAAATGCTTTATAATCTTCCTTATAAATGATACCTAATATTACTATATCAGTAATTAAATGGCAACAGTCTTACTTGGTAAAATTCCTACGGTTTGACTGGCTTAAATAGGCTGTGATTCCCAGTTCCTACGGACTATGACTGTTTCAAGTACAGTAGGCCTAATGCTTGAACTCGTCTGTAACAATTTCAAAAGAAATAATAACAGGTAAACTAAAGTAATACTAGTTTCACATAATTGAGGCAAACAGAATTAATTTAAATGATTTTACAATTTATAAAATATTCTCAGAACATGTGCTTTTTCATCCAAATGTAACATGAAAGTTGAGTATTTAATATTTGACATTTACAAAGTTATTAACTGACAGACAATCAAAAGAATATATATAATCATAGGTAAAAACATGGTAAACAAGATTATTAACAATACAATACCACATAAATCAATTTTCTTATTTTTAAAATGTTTTCTACTTACATTTTCACGAGTTTGTACAATTTTTAAGGGAATCAGCCAACTAAGAAAGATTTGGAGAAACAGCTCATTACAAAAATGACTTTAGTTAATTAACAGCTGTTCTCCAGTTCTGCCAACAAGGTGAAGTGTAATAACAGTCAAACTAGTTAGCCATTGATCATGATATTATATGTACATTATATATTCTGTGAATTAAAATAATTTAAATTTAATTAACATTTCCCTTACATCAGTATAAAATATCCCTCTACCTCTTTTTAAATTTGAATTATTTTAAAATCCAACTAAAATCTCTTTATACAAAACAAAGAAATAAACATCCTAATCTTCACAACAAAATTTTCACTTATCTCTACACAATTCAAACTCAAAATGAAAAAAAAATATATATATTTCCCATCTGTGAACTTTTCTAATACTATGCGGTGTTCTTTGCGATGAGTATTTAGTACCAAAATTCACCGCGAGATAGCTATACAGAACAGACACATTATTATTATCCAACATAGTTACAACAGAGGCTACTAGATATCAGCATCAAACAAGATAATCAATTCCTTCAACATGCGTGCTACGGTGCTACCAACATTCAAAGCAATATCTTTATAGATAATCAATAATCATCTTTTTAAATAATTCAAAATGTTCATGTTTCTTGTCCTAACAAACTACTTACAAATACATTTAAATCATATACCCTGACAATTAAAGAAATTGTATAACATTAAGATCATAGAACTTATTTTTCATTTGTTTTATCAACATTCAAAATCTCAAATAAAAAACTCTGTGTTGGCCAACCTGGAAAAATAGCATCATGTGATTTGTTTTAAAGAAAAATCCAAATCGCCATTTCAGTTTTGAATAGCTATGAGTGTGTTGTGTTTTGTGTGTTGTGTGATGTTTTATTTTAAATTTATAGTTTTGTGTTTTTTGCGTGTGAAAGTGTCTAGTGTAGTTAAAGTGTGCCTTAAATCTAAAAGTAACTTACCATTCAAATCATACAAACATACAAACCATTCGTGTCACAAACATTCACGGATTTATACAAACATATACTCCACGCATTCATACCCTATTGTTGTGCAATAACTTATTAGCGAACTCCATAAAATTTTCATTTCAAATCACTAGGCCTAACTTAACAATATTAAAATAACAAAAATTTCTGTCCCTACGATCTTAATTAATTATACATCAATCCTAATAATAACATAACTTTTCCCTTTCTACTAAAGTTGCATCCCTGGCATCATTCCATTCAAGTTTCAAGTATCTACAAGTTGCACTTTGCTTTCATGATAAAACCCGTGACCTACATTATGACCTGAAATAACAAACTAACTAGGCCTAGACTCATGGGTTGCATTGAACTAAACATTTACTTAACCTTTCTTACGAAACTTCTTGGCCTCATTGCTTAAGTAATGTGTACGAATAAGTACATGAGACTTTAACTTAAATGGATGTTTTGCTCTCTTAGGCGATAATCTCCACCAATGTCTGTCGAATTTCACACAGTTTCTTGAATTTCTCATGCTTTGGTTCAGGCTTTGCTTCATTTCTTCCATCGTTAGGTCGCTGCATATCAGACTCTTACTGTCCCACAGGTTGGTTAGCGCACAGCTGGGCTCATGGTCAAACATCAATTTGAAGTTGGATGTTTTGGTCGATGCATTGATGGCAGTTAGGCTGACTTGTAAATCGAGTTCTTTTTCCTTTTGATCTGGTACATCTTCTTCCTTTAACGTCACAGGAACATAGGTTTCTACGATTGATTCAAGTAGGCCTACCTTATTCATTGTGAATCCAACAGTTTTACACTCCACGATTTTTGTGCTCAAGGGCCGTTTTGTGTGATTGGGCCAGATGCCATACAAATGTTGATCAGTGATGTTAGCTTCATTTTTGCTTATTATTGCATTTCGTAAAAATGAAAGCAAGGGGGTCAATTCGAGTCCATTGCATTCTGTGATCTTACTGAGATAACCTTCAACAGGGTTAGGTAACTTGTATATAGGCATGGTGTGTATTTGCGTGTAATTAGGATTTGTAGGCATATTTAACCTATTATTTTGCAAGTTTGGGTTTTCATTTAGGTTAGTTTCAGTAGGCTCTATAGGTTTAATTGTAGTTTCTTGATTCGTCCCTTCCGGTGTAGAAGTATGATTTAGGTTAGGCCTATTTGGTTTTGTCGGGCTAGTTAACTGTTCAACTAAGTTTTCTTCCTCGATGATTGACTTATTTAAATCCTCTTCATATTGGTTCAATTCAGGTAAAGATACTTGGTTTTTGATTTCATCAAATTTGCTTTGCAGTTCTTGTAACTTGACCTTCAATTTGTCCAACTTACCGAAGTAGTTTGGACCTAACATACATGCGCTTATATTACTTATTCTAAGGTGCAAATGAGTACATAGAGCTGACATTCTTGCTATGTACAGGTTGCTCGGTTGGGTATCACACTGTTCTATAAGTAGCTGAAATCGATCTACCTTAATTTCTACGGTTTGAAATTCAGTACTTAAAGCTAATTTCCCAATAAGATTGTTTACATCTGGTTGAACCTGTAAAATAGATCTGAGCTGTTTCCTGAGTGCTTCTACGTTGTCAAAGGTAGAATCTTCTCCTCTACTTAAAATTTCATACTTAAGTTCATCTTTACTTAAATAATTTAAATTGAATTTTTCCATTGTCGGGAATTACTAGACCTATTCATACACAGAATAATTTTGGCAGTTTATATGAATCACTTGCTGAAACAATCTAATTTTATGGCAGAAGTTATGTCACTTCTTAAAATTTTCTTGTAGGCTAGCAAAGTTATCTTGAGGTTAGCAAAGTTCACCACAATGTCTAGGTTTTAAATAAGCGCAAGGGTTGAAATTAATAATAAATTAGCAGAGTTGCGCACTTCTATACGCTACCCAGTACCCCTGTATGGCCAATCACCGGAGAGTAGGTAGGCAAGATTTAATTTAGAATTATTATTCTTCAACACCAAGCTAACAGCTAAGATGGTGTTTGCTGAGATAACCTATCATTTGGTGTTTCCCCTCAGATGGTAGGATGCTGCACAAATTACTCCAATGCATGGTTATAACAAATTATACTTTTATTCTTCAAAATAATGAAAATGCTTTATAATCTTCCTTATAAATGATACCTAATATTACTATATCAGTAATTAAATGGCAACAGTCTTACTTGGTAAAATTCCTACGGTTTGACTGGCTTAAATAGGCTGTGATTCCCAGTTCCTACGGACTATGACTGTTTCAAGTACAGTAGGCCTAATGCTTGAACTCGTCTGTAACAATTTCAAAAGAAATAATAACAGGTAAACTAAAGTAATACTAGTTTCACATAATTGAGGCAAACAGAATTAATTTAAATGATTTTACAATTTATAAAATATTCTCAGAACATGTGCTTTTTCATCCAAATGTAACATGAAAGTTGAGTATTTAATATTTGACATTTACAAAGTTATTAACTGACAGACAATCAAAAGAATATATATAATCATAGGTAAAAACATGGTAAACAAGATTATTAACAATACAATACCACATAAATCAATTTTCTTATTTTTAAAATGTTTTCTACTTACATTTTCACGAGTTTGTACAATTTTTAAGGGAATCAGCCAACTAAGAAAGATTTGGAGAAACAGCTCATTACAAAAATGACTTTAGTTAATTAACAGCTGTTCTCCAGTTCTGCCAACAAGGTGAAGTGTAATAACAGTCAAACTAGTTAGCCATTGATCATGATATTATATGTACATTATATATTCTGTGAATTAAAATAATTTAAATTTAATTAACATTTCCCTTACATCAGTATAGTATGTTGTTTCAGTTATAATATTTAAGATGCCTTTTGAAGTTCAGAATACAATTTACTTGTTGTATTACTGTTAGCGGTGACCAGTTTGCTATATTGCTACCAGATAATGTGAAAAATTGTTGAAAACAATTAATAATGATGCAAAAAAAATAAATTAAATTAAATGAAATGTTTATTTGTCACATAGAATTTACATAATTGTGATCGTAACCAGTAAACGTATGACACGTCAGTTTTTCACAACAAAATACATTATATTACTTTTTTAAATTGTAATTAGTAATATATTAATACCCCCACCGCAGCAAACCTGCAGACTAAGCGAATTTCAATTTGCCTGATTTGATTTTCAATTAAATGTATTCAAATAACATTAGGTTTAACGAGTACCTAGGTTTGCTGCCTACAGGGAGGGTAATAAAGTGTATTTTTTAGTAAAATATTAATAGCTTAGTATAAAATAAATAGATTTGCCAAGTTTGATCCAAATATATCTATAAACAAGCAAACTACAACAGCTTACTTGTTTTTATTTTCGAGAGTCTGCCGTATCAAAGTTGTATATTTTGATTCCCAAGGTAATGACATTCATACTGGTACTCGGTTGTTTGGAAGTTAATAGCAGTTGTTATATGCATTGTTTTCTAATTTTGAAATAGCAGTAATTTTAATGTTGGGTTTGCTACAGGATGATGTGGGCCGCAGGACTGCTAGCGTCAATTTCCAGCATCACGTATCCAGCCATCAGTGCATTCGTGTCCATGCATTCTGATGCTGACAAACAGGGTTGGTATATTATAACAATTAACTTGTGAAACCATCAACCTGCCACATTTGACAACATCACAAATGTATCTGGCACAATCTAGCACTATTATCAAAGCCAATGCTACTTCATCTATGTTGGAAAAGCTAATAAACAAGGCAATTGTTTGAATATGTGATGCACTGTCTGATTCTCTCTCCAACAGTAACTAGAGTAGAGTAGTAAACCAGTCTAGAACCAGTCCCCACTTAAAATTCTTGGAATCGCACCTCTATAGGAACAGAGTACCGGTTTAGTAGTCATAGACTTTAAAACACCATATAAAATTTAGATTTAAAGACTAAGCTGTATATTTTATTTTAAGCTGCTCAAATTAGTGGTTTACCTACCAAAGGTAAATCCCAACTTTATTCAATCTCATTAAATTTGGATTTGAGATTTCAATGGCAGGATTTGGAAATTGATGTGCATATTTCATTTAGACTTGTCATTTGAGGGATAGTTGCAGACATTTTCCATCACAACTAGTAAAATACTAGTTTTCAAGATGTTTTTGGAATCTGAGATCTGACCCTGTCCTCATACTAGACATTACCTAAAGCATTACAGTAGGAGCTCCCTCTAGTTTGGCCATCTCAGTCCTAGATCACTGGTTGGACTACAAAATGGCTGGACCAATGGGATGTATTATCAAATGTTAAAATAACTCTATTAAATTAATTATTAACGCTTAAAAATCAACAAATAACATTTTGGTATTCTTTTGCAACATTACTTACCTACCAAAATTAAGCATTTGACACCTCTTTCTTGAATTGTCTTGTTGTTTCCAGTGTTTCCACTTAAAGATATGTTTTTGCAACACTGTACGCTACTGATTCACCTCTATCGAGTGTACACTCTAGAATGCCGAGTCTTTGTTCTAGTGTCACCAACAAATGCTTATGTTTTCACTCATTTTAGGTGACAGTTTTCTAACAATAACCCTGCATACAGAACTCCCATTTACTCACAATGTTCGCCCCCAAAACAATCTAATACTGTACAGAAAAAAAAAATACACAATCAAGATCAAAACACATTGTCTAACTTGACCGTTTACCGTAAACGGTAGGTAAAGTGCAACCGATCAGGTAATGAAACACTTGTCAACTAAACTGACATGAATTGTTTACTTCTACAGCCGGAAACTAAACATTCAATTTGAATCCTGTCGAAGGTCATTTTCTCATCCCCTGAGATCATTCGGCAGCCGATCCAACCAAAGTCCAACTAGAAGGAGTCTACTGTACAAGAATAGTAGGCTACACAAAACCAGTCAAAGCAGAAAAATCACCAAAGAAAAAACAGTTAAAGGAATGTATAATAGTCAATCCAATAAACAAACAAAAGTGAATGTGTAACAGAGTGTAGGCGAACTCCATATACTCGTCTGCGCAAGATGTTCCGCCTGTTTTTTGCCCACTCACTGTCGTACCACAACCCGTTTGATTGATCAAAAATTTGTGTATGGCATTATATAAGTATACAGTACTGTGAACAATCCATACAAAGATTCACAACTTGATACTACAGTTATTTCTATAATGACAAGCAGTCAAATGTCACAATCAAATGTCATAGAATCAAATGTTACCCTGTGTTGTGTACAGGGCTGGTGCAAGGCATGGTGACAGGCATGAGAGGTCTGTGTAATGGTCTGGGCCCTGCCATGTTTGGTGTTATATTCTACCTGTTCCACGTGGACCTAAACGAGGACCCGAGACAGAGTAGGGATGACCGAGGGGATAACAACACCTTCGGACATCCGGACGCCATGCCTCAGGTGAGACTCACCTGTCTCTTGTGTTTCACCTTTCTTGACTACTTTTGAAAATATTGTTTAATAGGTCGTTGTTAAGTTATATCAGTGTTATGCAAACAATTGTTGTGACTATTAAGCTTTTAATTACAAGATTACCAGAATGGGAAAGAGTAAACACAAAAACATTACACTGTAAAACTAAAATATTTCACTGTCATTTTCATTTTTCAACCAGGGAAGGTTTTAATCAGGAAGGGCTTTAGAAGCCAAATTGGACTCTTTCCCATTCAGATAATCATGCTATCCTAACAACATTTTTTGTAAAACTCTATGTTTTATTCTTAATATCAACTAAAATATATTTTTAAAATAACAAGTCAAGCAAGATCTAAGTTTAAGGGCAGGCTTCCTTAAGGGTTTGATCTTTCTCTAGTAATGTTTTAAGTATTTGTCATACATTTACCAAGGGTTGTATATCTGTATCCCTAGACCAACAATAAAAAGACCATTCAAGCCATCAACAAGTATTTTTTTATAAATAATCTCTGTTTCAATTGTTGTTCAAATACACATTTCCACCCATTATAATCACAAAATTGTTTTGTATTTTTTTAAAGATGATCTAGCATGTATTTTTATGGGGAATAAAGATTTTACAGTATAAACTCTCCGTAAAAGCCATTAGTTTTGCTCTGTATTCATAAAACTATTTTTACATGACAACTTTGATTGTAAAATTTGTCCAATCCTTGACTTGATCACTGTAGCATCCAAGTCTCTCTTGGATACGATTTAACTTTGAATACCTATGATATTACTTGTGCATGCAATCAGTGGCCTAAAGGAGAAATTGCCAAACAGGTAAGCCCCATCAAAAGCCTGTGCACAAGTGCAATTTTAGCTTTCAACAGGCAAATATAGAATGACGCTTTTACAGCTTTCATATTGAACCTTATTCTATTTTATATACTTGTAAGGGAAAAAACCTTAAAATTTCATGCTACCCTTAATATTTTTCTACCTGTGTTTTTTTCTTACACTGAGACTGAGTACACTTTAATTAGGTGGTATTTTTTATTTTTTAACTAACTTTTTTATTAAGTAGGCCTATCATCATTTTGTAAGTGAAGAAACTTATCTCTAACATAAATTTTTATTTATCAGCACTACAGTTAAAAAAGTGTTCTGATAATTTTTTCAGTGTTTGACATTACAGTTCTCTCCTGATTAACCAAGGATGCTGGGACCATGACTTTTAGTTAAGAAAGTTTTCATCCCATCTGGTTTTTTATATGTACAAGCTGCGGTCAGTTTTCTACTCATTAATACCATATTTGAATGAGCCACTCGTAGAGTATGCTGACAGTAGACTATGCGCTCATAGTAGTGATTTTGTTACTGTAAGAATTGTAACTTAAAAGATGCTATAATTTGCTATAAGCATTTAAAAAGGTTTAAATACCTGCTATCAGGCAATACAATCATATTGCAAACAGTACTAATTTCAACTCCTATGTGGCATCACCAGGCGGGCACAAGAACTTTTTTCTTTCTTAACATGAAAAGTGTTATATTTTTACACATGAAAATAACTAAACATTTACACACGACACAAACACGGATACAAAACATTTATCTTAACTGATCAGTTATGACAACAGGCGACTCTTACTTGGTGGAGTTTGAGTCCAGACTGTGGGGGGTCAGTGCAGTAGGTGTACAACCAATATCTTATGACTTCAGGTTGGGTGGGTCCTGTTAGTCACACTTCCCCTCTCCAGTATCCTGATGGCAGTGGCATACATAAAATTGGACGAGAAAAAGAGTTGGTGATTTAACACATTTTGGTGGTCGGATTTTAATGCCTTGTACATCTCAAACTCTTCCAAGGTGTTAATTTATATCTGTCTCTGGAAAATGTCATATTGCTATAAATGTTGTAGCGCCTGATGTGACACATAGGAGTCGAAACTAGTTGCGTTTTCAGTATAAATGGATTTCCTAATAGCAGGTATACCTTTATTAATATTATTTGCCAATCTGGAGGCTAACATCTACAATGATGTTGCTATAAGCAATTTTTTCAGTTTGGCTTGGTAAAAAATTAGCTTATTCAACAGAAATCAATATGTAATTTACAGCAGCGTACTCTGTCAGTGGCTCAATCAAAAAACGTTCAATTTAATCTAAAACCGGCTATACAACTTTAAGATGGGAATAGAATGTCTATTTCTATCAATAGTCAAAGGTACAACCCACTGAGTATGAAGTAGACTTGATTGTTCCTGGTGGTGTCCACAGCTGGTACCAGGGCCGCCGTTTGTGTTTGGCGCACTACTGGTCATCTGTGCTCTTCTAGTCGCTGCCTTCATACCAGAAGGTGCAGGAGTGGGGACAAGCTTACGAACCACCTCCAGGAGACAGTCTGGTAAGTGCATCTTGTTCAAGCTAATATGTTATTGGTAAAATCACAAAAATTGAAATTACCGTACTTTTAAACCTAAATTTTTACAGCATTGGGGGATGTACCAATTTGTCTAAGGTTAAAAGGAACGTAGGCTAACATATTTGACTTCAAACAAAATTATTCAAGGCTTTTTAAATCCTATTTTCTGTTGTTTTTTTTAATGGAAAAGTCACCATTAAAACCAAAACTTAAAAAAAGTAATAATAAAAACTAACTAAAAACTGGGGGTCTTATTGTTTTGCGATGAGTAAAACATTTCAGCAAATAATAGGAAAATCTGTTAAAAAACAAAAGTAGAGTCAAATTTAATAGATTTTATGACTTTTATGACTTACGATTAGGGATCAAAGGTTTACTTTTGAAATAGGCCCATTCCTATTTTTATTTTATTGTGCTGTTTCTCTAATCTATACATATCTCCTCTAGACTATTCTCTTCTAAGTCGGCCACCAGAAAATGCCAGACTCTTGGTGGAGGTTTCAGACTAACCCAGGCAGATTTCAGGGGGTACTGTACTAAGTTGCAGGTGATTATTTTATTTTATTTTTATTTGGTGTGAAAATTAAAACTGATTTTCGATTTATTATTTAACAACTTTATTTTTGTTAATTTTGTTTGTTGTTTTTGGCCAGTAAGCTTGAATAATTTTATCCAACGCTCAAAAATTCATATCATAACTTAGCTTTCATTCAAATAATTCTAAAATATTTCAACTAGGCATAAAAGGGACATTGGAAAGAATACTTCCATTGGAATATGTCACTTCAAAATTTCCGATATTTAGTTGACACACTATTTTGTAATGATGTGATTGGACAAAAAATTGCTTACAAAATTATTTTTATTTAGTACAGTAGGATTACTAGTTATCCAAACTCCAACTATCCAAATCACCGATTATTAACATAAAGAATTTAAAATACCCAAAACTAAAAATAACAAAGAATTGTTACTAACGCAGAAGCCATGATCACGGCCAAATCCTGTACATCTTCTGTGGTCCTGTAGTCATTGTTGTTGTCTCCTGCAGTCTTAGAAACATCATCATCGTCTTCCATGATTGTAAGAAATCCTGTACTACATCTCCTGCACTCGTGTATAAATCATCACTGTGTTCCATGGTCACAGAAACATATTCATTGTCTTCCTTGACTGTGGAGAAAATCCTAAACATCTCCCACTGTCAAGTAGTCATCATCGTCTTCCCACCCGCAGTCAAGAAAACATCATCATTGTCCGCCTTGATTGCGGCAAAATATTGAATATATCCCATGGTCGTGTTGACATAATCTTTTTCCAGACATAAAGTAAAATCAACATCTCCCGCAGTCACGAAAACGTAACCAAAAACAAAAACGAAAACGTATCCTTTGCGAATGTGAATTTGTTTTATCAATAAGTCTTTGTAGAAGCCTACTGCAATTACGGTAATATCTCAATAGTAAAATCTCGGATCAAGCTTGAATATTTCTAATTGGTGCATAAGAAGTTTTTTCTATTAAATACTCTGAATTTCGGTAAAACCCAACTGTCTGAAAATTTTACCATCCTAATGTTGTGTTGTACGATCCTAATTGATTCGGATGATTAGAGTTCTATTGTACCTACATTGGCATTGTATAGTGTTTTTTTTTTTAAATATATTTTGTAACCTTGATTTTATTGATTTACCATCAAGCAAAACTGCATTGAGCCACCTTCAACTCTTTGTTTTTAATTTTACTTGACTTTTTAAAACTGACAACTTAGCCATAAACTGTTCAGGTCTGTCCATGGAGGTGCATTATGAGATGGAGAGGAGCAAGAAGCACGATGGTATGAGTCAGATGTCACCTTTAGTAGACAACAGCCTGCTCTAACCTCCTTCTGTTACCATGTGATCTAGTGTTACATACGTTACGTTAGTATTAATTGTAAGATATGCGGCTGATCATCCCACCACTGCTGCTATTGCTGCGATACCAAAGCGTTAATTTAGTTGTAGATAGATTTCCTCAGCTAAGGTTGTGTGGACTTAACAGTGTACAAAGTAGGCTAAGGAATAAACGAGTCTTGAACTTAGCTGCAAGTTTGTCTGTGTGGTGTGTAAATGAGCATTTCTCCGTTGTTTTTTATTATTGTTATTGTTGAAGTTGTCAGTTTTGGGATGTATTTACATTTAGTCACTTGGCAACTTGATCTCTCATGTTTCCATTTAGGTTTGTTTTACTATGATCATCAACAGTACTGTACTGTTTTATTATAATGTATCTAATTTACATTTATATACATCTTTTTATACCTTGACTTGGTCAAATTGTAACAATATTGAAAAGTTTATACAGGCTTTAGGTTTAGTTTGCATATTTTTCCTTGCAGTATATTTGCTGTTTACTGTTGGGTAAATATTTCTTTGTTTTAATAAGATCCAGTAAAGTATTTTAGTTGAGTATTTTGATTTAAAAATCAATATCAGTTGTCCTGTGAATGATTGTACTATAAGATTGTTATGTTGTAGAGTATAGTTTGTTAACTTGTTATTTGTGGACATTCCAAAACATCTACTGTATAGTCATTTTGTACGCTTTTACCTCATAAATTAGAAGGTATGTTGTATTGTCTAGAAAAAGTAATTTCTGCAATCACATATTTTAAATTTTGTATACATCATTAAGTAGCACCAAATACACAATTTTCAATCCTTCCTTCAATGGAATATCGTAGTAGAAATTATTTTCCAGATATGATAATCTCAACTTAGCTTGAGCTAGGGAGAATTCCTAAACATTAGTGAAAAATCTAAGTATCAGTACAACAATTTTATATAGCACATTAGTACAAAATTGTTAAAAACTAAATTTTGCCCTCCTTTTGTCTTTGAAATCACCAATCGGTAACTTTAGACTTCATTCTATAAAGGTTTAATTCAGATTACTGTAATATAATAGCATTTTAGCTTTTGATATTATTGTGTATCCCAAGCACAGATTATTGGTTTGAAACTGGGCCCAGCTGTCCTTCATTCTCTTTCTTTTTACACGGATTCAACAGCTCCCATTCTTTGTCTCATCTGGTCCGCATGTTTCCTTTTTATAACACCTCCACAAAGTACATCATATGAGTACAGTCCATTTTTATTTTTCACCATTCCAGCTGACCAACCATTCCCATGTTCATTCTTAATCCACACATCTTCTCCTTCCTCAAAAATTCGAACTTTTTTGTTGTCCCTCCCTTGTTCTTTCCAAAGCTTCATCTCCATTAGGCTTGAATGATTCTTGCTATGGATCAGTAACAAAGCTACCAAATGAGATACCCACTCCATTTTACACTCGTCCATCATTCATATTCACCTTAAAATGTGTAGGCCTAGCAAAAAAAAATCGTCTTAGTGAAGCGACGAGTAATTGTAATCCAATTGATGAGTGATTAACAATTGATTTGTCATCCTTATGGATCAGCTGAAGAGAATTTCTAAGTATGTTTCTATCTGGTTTGTTGTGTGTATTTTTGGTGTGGACTATTTATTTCTCATCAATTTTAAATTGGTTTTTACATGATAAAACCGTTAATTTTCAAACTACTTCTTGTTGTCTGGTCAAAACAAATAACCAATAATTGGAGGTTTAAAATTCATCCTGCAGTAAAAAAATGTATAGTCAACAACAAACTATTGAAAAGAAATCAGACTTTCTTGAAACACACACAAAAAGGCTTCAGTTTTTACAATTGTTTGAGAAGTCTATTTGCAGTATCCATTCATTCCTTTGGTGTAAAATAGTGTTTTTGTTTGTTAAATCTTGGGTTTCAATGAATGCACATATTCTGTAACGACAATATTAAGTCTGAACTGTCATTGTAAGGCCTAATGCGTGTTTACAAAATTGTAATTCTTTTAACTAGAATTTTTATATTTGTAAGCTTAACAGTTTCTATATTATGGAGTTAACTACATTTCCTTATGTGAAATCAATAATTGTAAAATATGTAAATTAAATTGTAATATTATGTATATACAATGTTATAGTATTTATGTTTGAAATGTGGAACTACCTTTACACTTTAATGTTACTTAATTTATTTGAGTAAATAGGTGACAGGAGTCGATATTCCCTTTCAAATTTTATTAGCTGCAGTCTGAGTCTGACCTTATACGTTTTGAAATTCCATAATTCCATTCTAAATATCCATTATAAGTAGCTTAAACAATATACCTTAGAGTCTCAACTATTATTATGTATATTGTTTTGTCATATTTTTACTGTTAGAAAAGTGCTGTTGTTATTTTGACGGTTTCCTTATTTTCTTTGTTTATGATGATGACTTAAAATAAAAATTTAAAAAAATGTTTATTTCAATGGAAGATTATCTTTAAGCCTGATACAGGTTTGATAGTGGAGAAACTATTAATTTATTTAATGGTATTTAACATGATGATATATTGGTTTTTTATTATTATTTGAGCCTTCCGGACTTTGCAGCGGCCGATTTAGGTCAAATAATTGAGACTCTACTGTCATACTGATATTTTTTGAACTAGGAATGTACACTGTGGTAACTAATGATACTAGGATTCAGAAAACAGTTTGGTATATAGTTATTAGTTAACTAGGTGTCCATTAAATTCTAACACATTAGTCGTAATCCGTGTAATTTATTGAGGTGTATTCAAACAATTTATTTTGTTTGATATTGCATTCTACAGTATAGAGTATTTATATGATGTATGTGAGGGATTTTTGTATATTAACTTCTTCAAAATCAAATACCTGTTTTTTACATGGAGTGGAATTATGAAATATGAACTAGCTTTCCTTAGTTTTGACCTACCAAATTAGTTGTGTCTTTCACTTAAAATCTTTGTTATATATAAATGAAAACAAAGTGCTCCTTTAGCTGATACTGACATTTAGAGTATAAACAAGTCTTTTATCACATTTCTGAAATAAGTTATGGTTGGATGTTAGTAATCAAAATTAAATTGCCTCCAGAATCACAAAATTGAGTAACAACAATAACTCTGTCAATAAAATCTTGCTCAATATCAGAGTACGACCCATATATAATTAACGAGTTCTATTACATACAGTACCTATTAAAACGTTGATTTGCCTAAGAAGATAATACATCTGCAAATGAATAAAATTACATTAATAATCTGTTCTTATGAATATCAGAATATGGAGAAAATCAAATTAGTTCATAAAATTATTTTAGATTGTGGTGGTGCAAGAAACCCCCTTTGGTGTTAATTTGGTTCAAAGTATCTCAAGATTCAGCAAATTTAAAAGGTTATACATCACTGAGATATTTATCATGCCCTTATTGATAACTGTCTTATTCAGTATTGGTATAATATTCTGGGCTTTACTATCTCTATACCTCAGCATTAGCTAGCATTTTTAATGGCATTCAAATATTAACAAGGTTAAGTTTAGCTGATAATGAAGTTGAAGATCCTTTTTGGTAACACTACGAATCTACAGAAATCAATTAAATGAATACATAATTTTGTAGTATACCTAATTTTTATTATCAACCAAACATTATGGTGATAAAATCTGGTGAAATCTTAAACACATAATTGTGATTTTTCAGCTTAAGACTGATTATTTTAACAGACATTTTATTATGTTTTCTACCTAATAGGCTTACTTTTTTGTCACAACAATGACCTAATATTGTTTCCTGTGATCAAGGTTCTTAATGTTCAACAATACTATCTTGACATAAATAAACACAACTGTTGAAGTATCTTTAGAATAGTTTTACGTGTGTTAACAATGAAAGATTTATTGTAAAATCATATTAAAAACCATACAGAGTAATGTTACAAAATGAACCGTCAGATTTATGGGATTGTTGTGTACTGTAGTTTGTTTGATAATCGAAATACCATTACTTCTTGTTCACTTGGCTTGGAGCCACGTTTCTTCTCTACAGCTGACTAATTAGCTGTTAGCACTTGTGATCACGAATATTACTGATAGAGTTTAATAAATTTATTTTAAATAATGATTGGTTTTTATCTAAACATCTCCTCTACCCACATTTAACCATAGGGGCTCCAAAGGCCAGTATGATGGCCATCTAGGCTAGAGTAACAACAAGCATTCCATTTACAACTAAGCAAGTATAAATCAACAAAAAAAGGCTGAAAACTATACTTGACATGAAACCTGGGAGTCAGGTTTATAATCACTTCGCTTGGACCATTTTTGACCATAGTTTCTTTCACATTATACTGTTTTTGTTGTCTGATTACAAACCCTACGGTTTTACGCTGTGTCTATGTTTCTTTCACATTATACGGTTTCTGACTGTACGAAGAGATGGATGTGTTTTCAGCAATAAACATGATCATTGTCAATTGACAAGCTAGATTGTCAACAGCTGATCTATTTGCACTGGCTGGTTGTCTCCCATTCAACAAAAAACCTTGCTGTGCGAAAGCTTGCTTTAACTACATGCGCCATTAATGCTTGGCTACTGTATTGGTTCAGTGGCAGTGGACGGTCAGCTACATAATGACACGGTTTTCAGCCTATGCTGTAACCGTGTAGTGTGAATGCTCTAACGCTCTTTTAAAACTACTAATCAAATTTACCTGTATGGTTTAACTGTACGGCAAAGGACCTATAGTGTAAAGGGAGCGTTAGTAGATAGACTATCAGGTGCTAGGTCTGATCAATGGACAAGCAAGCTGTCTAAGGCTATTTCTCCATGACATTGTCTTAGACCTCGTTCACAATATTTAGGCGGTTTTAGGGGAATAAATCTATCCCATCCACTTGACCTGTACCTTTAAAATAATAACTCAACAGCTAATTAAGCAGCATACATTAAATACAAAAAAATGGTGGGAGAACTTCCCCTAAATCGCCTAAATATTGTGAACGAAGTATAGGAGGCAGTAACGAAGTTCAAAGGTTCAATGGTAAACTCACAATCCAAGTCAAATGTTTCTGAAATTGTGTACAGAATATTCTGTTAAATTGGTTTGAATTGTTATTGATTTTATTTTGAATCAATTCCACAACGTTTCGTTTTAAATAGCTGCAACTTTGTATTAACGCAATATTAATAGTTTACGCTCAAATCCGGTTTTGAAAATATCCTAAATTATTTTAATTGTCTCCCAAAAAGGAAATATATAGATTAGGAATTTGAACAACCTCCATCCTTATTCAGATTCCAGTTATGTTTGCTATATGGACAAGGAAAACAATAACCCTGCCACAGCAAACCTGCAATCTAAGCAAATTTCCATTTACCTGATTGGAATTTAAATTAAATCTGTTTAAATAACATTATGTTTGACAAGTACCTAGGTTTGCTGCTACAGGGAGGGTAATAAAGTGCGTTTTTTAGCAATATATATATAAAATAAACTAATTTGCCAATTTTGATTAAAATATATCCATAAACAAGCAAACTACAACAGTTAACTTATTCCCCATAAGAATATTAATAACAACTGAGTGTAAAATAAACTAATTTGCCAATTTTGATTAAAATACACCATGAACAAGCAAACTAACAACAGTTAACTTATCCTCCATAAAAATAACATTGGAATTTTAAATTTAAAAATTTTGAATTTTCTCCATAACCAAAAAACCCTAAAAGACCCTTCAATATACTATTTTTTTTGTTTTTAAGCTTTTTTAAAATGGTTTAAAGAGAGATTGGGAAATTTTATGTTTTGAGGGTCAAACAAGATAAAACCCAATTTTTACCCCATGAATCTCCATGGATCATGCTGGATCACAAACTCATTCAAAATTTTATCCTGCCCTACATGTTCAAGCCAAATTTCATCAAAATCGGAAAAAATTACTCAAGTTATCGCGTTCACAGACCTATTTATTTATATACATATATATACAGTACAAATTTGAACGAATAGTGTTTTTGGACACTAAGGACATCAAAATAAAAAAATTATATCGGTCCCGGGTCTAGGTCTTCCCGTGCCACCTACGGTAATAGCTACTTCCCTATAGGGAAATTCGCTAAAAGACATATGAGATTCGGAATTCTACTCTAGAATCAAGCCAGTAAATCTGGAATTTAAATCTTTTCATGAGATTCGGAGGGTTCAAGGAGTCTACTTGAAAGAAGGGATGGGTTGTGTAGGTTTATGTGTTTGAAGCACACCCTACAGAATCCATCTATTGTAGGATCTTTGATCAGGCATTTATTACTTTGCATCACCTTGGTGTATGTCCCAGCTTTGCTACTCTATTTAGATTTGGCTCAATTTTCAACATTTGATTTAATTGCAAATATAGAATTTGAGGGAGAAAATATTTGGTTTTGATATAAAAAAACAAGGAGGTAAACAGTGTGTGCTGCAAGCCCAGTGGTGGTGTCTCAGAATTTGGTGCAGGAGGGATCAGTTCGATTCCTGGCATTTCACACAAAAATTGAGAGGTTGGATGGCTGTTCCTTTAAAGTGTTGTAGTTTTTAAAATTGTTTAGTATATTTAAGTCAATTTAACTTGGGTAGCCACTAAAAAAATATTATAGTAGGCTATTACTTCTGATAATTAAATTATTATTTTTATTATCCTTTCCAGGAGTGAGATCTTCTTTACGGAGACAGATTTCATAATTGAAGAGCATTATCGGTACCTACTGGCCATAGAGGGTTCTTATATTGCATCATCTTATACCTAATGGTGATGGGTTTTGAGCAGAAACCTTCAGGACTAAGTCTACATATTTCTACCAAATACACCAGCAATCCCAACTGGATATTTTATTTACAAACACCCGTATTTTTATCCTATAAATCACCTAAAACCTAAATTTCTGAGTTCTAAAACACCCCAAAACTCCCGAGCCCACCCGACCCTCTTATCAGGATTGAAGACCTGCGCTCAGGACTCAGGAGCGACCTTCACCTACCTTGAGACGGTCGATAACGCGACACTAGCGCTGCGGTTGGACCAGCGGTGATCCTAGTAACTACCGCAGTATCTCCCGCGCCGTCGTCGAGGTACGGTGTGTCGCTGTACGTCTCGTAGTGCGTCCTGTATTGTGTTTGTGTTTACATCTATGGAAGTATGGACTACCCCAGGATTATGTACAGTGCTGAATGTTTAGGAAAATTTACAACACCCTACAACTACGCTGGAAGGTGAACTAACGCGGTAAGTTTACAACTTAAGGTTTTTATATTTTTAATTAACATTGTTTATGAATTAATTTGTGTACGCCTATATTCTATGTATATTTGTGTAGAAATACAATGTTTGTATACGACAAACTTTAAAATCCTTTTTGACCAATTTTAACAATGCCCTAACTGTATTTTACTAAAATAATTATGAAATTGTTCAAATATCTCAAATTGTACTTTAAACATGACAAACATGCTCTGTGTAAAACTCATCGCCCTGTGCTATCACTGGGTCAATATTTACACGAGATAACAAGCGTGAATGTACAATGGTTTGCTTACTGTGTATGACTGTATCTAAGGGTAGGAAGGGACCTAATGGAATCACCCAGTTCAGCTGTGACTGACACACACCCCACCCTCATAAGGGTTGTCTCTGCTGAAATTGGCACTTTGAATATTGTTGACCTGTATTGCTACAATTTGTTTGTTGGAATAATTTGGAAGACTGATCAAAATACCCAAAAGGGATTTCACTCGTCTTCCATTCATATTTTGGTTAATACGCCAAGCTTCCCATCTCTTAATAATGAACATTACTCACATTACATTGCCAACTGCTGTCATATTTACGAGGAGTATTATCTTATTATTATTATTTATTGTTATTACTGTTGTTTACTATTGTTTCGCTTATTGACATTGTTTATTTATATTTAAAAATCTTGAATGAATGAATGATTTATTCCGTCAAGTTTGCTACAAAGTACAATGTTTACCTTTTTACTATAATATTAAGTTTACAACATAAAATAATCAAAAACAGAAAAAAATAACAGAGTTGTGAACTTTGTAAGGCAAATGAACTTTGTTGTGAGCAAATGAATCCATATTTAAATTATTGTGAAATGGTTATATCGTAAATAAATAATTAAATTATTGACAACAGTTTCCAACTTCAAGCCAGGAGGATTATCACAGCCTATTTAATACTTAAAAAGTCTTTGTGTGTAGTGCAACAATACAAAGAAATGTGAATAAACAAACATTAATGACATGTTAACCATGACTTTTCGCTATTTCATTTCCAGGCTTTCTCACTTTTCACAATTGTAATATGTACGCAATCCCAAATTCAAAAAGTAAATATTTAATTTCAACCAGGTCGGTAAAATTTAATTTGTGTAGGACACATTTTCTTAAACAACGACAGAATTGTTTTTTAGAGATTTGTTTTGTATGTTGTTTTAATATTAACAGCAATTAAATTATTCAGCTGATCATAATGTAAACAATTATGTTCTTCATAAGGGTAACATGGGAGATTTTAAACCCAAGGGACTTAAAAAAAAATGTGAGGTCGGTATTAAAATATTCGTGACACGCTTTTTCCATTTAGCCGTCAATGATCAAAATCGGTTAAGAAATGGGGGAGGAGCTCAAAGTTCAAATTTGGCGCATTAATTATATAGTAGATTATAAATTTACTAGTGGCTTGTAGGGGCAATAGCCCCTATATTCTAGTAATTATTTTGTACAAATTATTAGTCTCATGGGTTACCCTACCTTGAATTATCATTTAACACTTTTGTATATTATGATATGTATAATAGTTATTACATAGTACCTGCATAATGCATTTTGATGTCTGCTCTGTTTAAAATAAAAATTCCAAAGGACATGCGGTGTGTTTTATAATATAAACTTTCTAATCAGCTAAGAAACATTTTCCATTAACAATCTTTATGACTATTAATTAAATATATATAGATTTCTTTAAATATAGACAAATTTTCAATCAAAATGTATCAACTTGAGCCGTTGACATGTAAATAAAATAAAAGTTAGGGAGGGCAAAAGTTGACGGCATGGTTTGAGTGTTTAGAGCC